TCCCAAAAAAGTAACTCTAGGCTTTATGAGTTATAATGTAAGAGAATATGTACCAAAGCCAATGAGATGTTACAACTGTCAAAGATTTGGTCATACAGCCAAAACCTGCAAAGGGAGAAGAAGATGTGCTAGATGTGGAGAAGATCATGATTATGAGCAGTGTGGTCACATAGAGCAACTCAGATGTTGTAACTGTGGTGGAAATCATAGTGTGGCTTATGGTGGCTGTGAAGTACTGAAAAGGGAAAAAGAAATACAACAGGTGAGGATTCAGGGTAAGGTGACGTATGCAGAGGCTGTGAGGATAGTAAGTCAGAGAGGAGGAAGTGGAGAAAGAAGCAGTACAAGTAAACAACTCGATAAGGATTCAAATCCGGCAAATGAAGAGAAGGTAATGGTTGACATTAAGAAACTAGTCACATTCATAGCAGGAGTAATCAATGCTACAGGCCAATAGCTCTAACATCGAATTTAGTCAAAATAATGGAAAGGATGATTACTGAAAGACTGACATTTTATCTGGAAACAAAGGAACTTTTATCACCTTATCAGAGTGGATTCAGGAGAGGGAGAGGAACAATGGACCCAGGTGTATGTTTGGAAACAGAAATCAAGAAGGCACAGGTTAACAAAGAATCAGTTATGGCAGTTTACTTTGATGTTGAGAAAGCATACGATATGGGTTGGAAGGAGGGACTAATGATTAAGTTAAATAAAATAGGAATTTCAGGAAGAGTATTTAATTGGATTAAAGATTTTTTATTTGACAGATCTATTCGAGTTAGAATTGGTACAGCTTTGTCCAGGAAGTATCTGGTAGATAACGGTACCCCTCAGGGTAGTGTCATTAGTCCATTGCTTTTTTCCATCATGATAAATTATGTTTTTTTCCCAAGTTCCACCTGATATTAGTCGATCTTTATTTGCAGATAATGGAGTATTATGGAAAATCAGCTAAAACATCATTACAAAAGTTAGAAGTGTTGTGGTGTGGTCAAGTCGACTCCTGTTAATGCTCTGCATGTGGAGATGGGGGAAATGCCCATGTATTTCCGACAGGAACAGCTAATGTGTCACAGTCTTCACCGGGTGTGCCCAGGAGGGCCACCAGATGACTGTGTTCTGGGAGCACATGGCTTGTGTTGTGTGTGTCTGTTGCCATGTGCTCTCTCTCCTGTCTATTGTCTTGCCCCTCCCATCTTGTTACCTCGTTATAGTTTAAGTTGCTCCACCTGTGTCTCCCTCGTTAGCCTCCTCGTTTGGTTCCTATTTATTCTCCTTGTGTCTGTCATCCTGTGCTGATCCGTAATTTCTCATTGTGTGTGTTTCGTGTCTGCATGTGTGCAGCTTTAGATCTGCCTGTCTGTTTTTCCCCCTCGGGGTGGTTTGAGTTTGTTTTTGGTTCTTTTTTTATTATTAAAATAAACAACCATTTCTCCTGCAGTTGAGTCCTCACTTCATCTCCCCGCATGCACCGTGACACTAATGATGAATTATTGGGCAAATTTAAAAGGACATACGGAGGCTGGAAACCCAACCACCAAGGTACTTCTCCCATGTTGGGAGAGTGAGAGAGCTAAGAGTAAATGTTTTGCATGGATCTCCGTGGGTATAGCAAGAAAAATGGGATTAGATCAGGAAACATACATTCCTACAGTCCCATTAACAGTAACTCCTCCATGGTTATTTCTCTCAGTATTTGTTGATTTATATCTACTGGAAAATAGTCATCTATTTAAAGATACAGGAAATCTGCCAGTGTTGGTGGAGGATAGGATTCAAACATTGGATCCGTCTGCATATATTGCTACATAATTCTGATCCAAAGATCCTGCAGGAAGAACAGCATATGCATTTACCATTCCATCTTTACAAGTATCTATCAATAGGAGAACATCAGATCACCTGGCAGTTTATACAGTTGAGTTAATAGCAATTGCAACAGCTCTGCACTGGGTAGAACAAGTTAAACTAAAAGTTATTCTGTGCTCAGATTCAAGTTCAGTGTTATTATCGTTACAGTCATTTTCATCCCGGGGTATAAAGACATAGTTAATGAAATATATTAAACTCTTTTCAGTCTTCATAATTTGAATATAGTGGTTGCATTTATGTGGATGCCTGCTCACAGGGGAGTTAAAGGCAATGAAATAGCAGATTCATTAGCAAAAGAAGCAATCAAGCAAGAAAATACAATAGACATTTTATTTAGCAAAGCAGAAATAAAGACAATAATTAAAAGTAAAATCATCAGTAAATGGCAAGATAAATGGAACAAGGGACGTACAGGCAGACATCTTTATACCATCCAGAAAGAAGTGGGAAGGATGAGGATGACGGGGCGAAGTATCAAGTAGGAAAATATAATATCAAGGTTAAGACTGGGTCACACAAGACTAAATAAGACATTACATCTCACTGGAAAACATCCCACAGGTCTGTGTGAGTATTGTCAGGAGGAGGAATCAGTAGAACATGTTCTATGCAAAAATATATTATAGAAAGAGAAATATTCAGAAGGACACCACAGGAGATACTACATGCAAAGCAA